TCATGCTGAAAACAGCCTCAAAGGCGATGCCCTTATGTAATCCAATAGAAACCCGGCACGCGATCTGGGTCATTCACGGTCTAGGAACCAACCACCTGTCGTCATTGCAGGTACACTCTCTAGTAAGACACACCAGCCTGATATTCAACGAACATTCAAAGTACTGCTTCAAGACGGGCTATTCTCTTCTATTCACGGATAGATTCGCTTAACTGGGCCACAAAGAACACCCGTACGAAGCTGGTTGGTACAAAGTTGCGCCATTAGCGAAATAGAGTGGTCGCCAGGCAGCGACCGCCTCTATCCTTGAGAAGAAGAAAACCTGCAACTACGAACTAAGAATTACACCAGAAAGATCTTTGTTTTCCCTCGTTACATACGGTACAGAGTCGCAGCATCAACGCGATCAAGATACCAAGATCCTCCCTCCCATAGCCCACTGCTCTGAACAACAAAACCCCCGCCAATAGTGACCCCGCGATAGAGCATCAACCATGTCATCCTTCATCGTCAAGCTTTGGGAGGACATTTTCACCCCAGGCCCGACGCCCACCATCCTCAAGGCCGCGAATGCCTCCTTTGCCGCTCTCCAAATCGTCCTATTCTGTCTCCTGCTCGCTACGTACAATATCCATTGCGTCATTCTTTCCATCCTCTGTGGTGGTTTGTGGTGGAGCGTCAACTGGTTTGCCGCCGAGCTTGCCATCGCCCAGCGAGAGCAGCGTGAAAAGGAGGAGAAAGAGAAGCAACAACAGAAAGAGGTGTCGGGTAACGATGGTGAAGACAGCGAGACGGAAGTCGAGACGACTGTCCCGAGCAAGCCGTCTCCCGTCGCCGCGACAACTTCTGACGTTGCTGTAGCTGCTGCTGGTGGAGTCCAGCCTCTTCAGTCAAAGGGCGAAGTGAAGCAACGTTCTGGGGCTACGGGTACACAATCAAGTGTTAGTACGGAGGACGAGTGGGAGAAGGTATCCGAAGCTGAGAATGAGAAGGACAAATAGAATCACTGTATACGCGGTTCAGGGGACACCAATTCAGACCATGAGGTGGGATGGTACGGATGCGTTAGTGATTTCATAGAAAGAGACGACACTGGAGGAGGATACCCCTTGCGACATCTGTGATTTCTGGCGTGTATGTGGTTAGCGTAGTCACATCTTTCTATCTTAGATATCAATTAGAGCCGAACTATGGTGATGAACTCTAGTCACGCATATCATGATCGTTGACATGCTCTACACTCATACCACACTCAAATACAGCTACGACTCACTATATGAGTCTCAAGCCTATGCCGATAATGACCTATGCGCCAATACACCAAAACAATATCCAACCCCAAAGTCAGATGAGTCATGAACAAAGAATTGCAGCATAATTAGCAAGAACACAAGTAATACACGATAACCCCGCAGAGTTGTCCATCTTACATGACTTTTAGCTTCCGGGTCACATATGCTGCAACCAAACTGCTCATGGCTCCGATGAATAGGCACACCGCAATGGCGTTTGGACCATCCGGATCCGGCTGCTTCTTTTCATCACCCGCGAGCTCGGGACTCTTTCCAGGCTCGAGGACCGCGAACACGATGGTAGATATGAACGTACCAACAAACTGTGGCAATGTCGTATAGATGTTTAGGATGCCGAAGTATATACCCGATAACTCGCCTGTAGAAGCCGTAGATGGCATGCCAACCTCTGAACCGTGGTCAAGCTGCAAAGCTGCATCATCGTGGCTGATCTCGGAGAGCTCAATGTCGGGCTCGTCCGAAATGCGACGATATGCACCATCTGATCCGGCGCCACCTCCGAGCTTATTGACCTCGACGCCGAGGAAAGCACTCGGAGCCCACATGGCGAGAGTCCAAGGTCTAAATACGTATTAGCATCATACGGAGGGCGGAGAGCTGCTGCCAGACTTACATGCCGCATAGACACACCAGAACAGTCGCAAATCGGAAGCTGGTTGCAAATGGCGCCAAGGACATGGACGCAGCAAACATTATGTGCCCAAACATCCAAGCCGTCAATAGATCAGGCTTTACCTTGTTGAACCGTGTCAAGAAGCCTGCGATTGCCTGAGGAGGCCGGTGGGTAAAGGAGTTGTCCTCAGGAGACTGGACAAACATGGGCAAAATCCAGGCACCTGCAAATGTGATTACGGAGTAAATAACAAGCGCATTGCTTCCTATGCGCCCAATGGCACCGAGAGTATCCTTGGATTTCCTCGCATCGGCAGGCACGTCGTAACGAAAGTATGTTTCACCAACCCATGTGGTACTATAGAAAAGAAAAGGGAACCAACCAATCCAAGCCCAGAACTGTGCCCAGCAGATGGCTTGAATTCGAGGAGGTAGGTTTAGAAGTGTCGCCCAGATTTGGCGAAAGACTTTGAAGCGACCCTCATGTTGGGCTGGTTTGGAGGCTACCAGCACCCGCTCTGTAACGGCCCAGCAAGTGAGTGACGTTGAACTCAGAAGAGCAATGGTCGAGATGACTGTGAGCTGTTTGAACTGAGTATCGCCGAGCGTGGTTCCAAAAAGCTTCAATAAATCTACAGCCCCGGCACCATACGCAATCATATGACCAATTGCAGACATACGGCTTGCTACAAAGAAAATTAATTCGACTCTCATTAAAGCAACATGTGTAAACTTACACCAAGCCGCCCCCGTCTGCTGTTTGTCGATTGGTAACGTATCAACAATGAGACTCTTGGAGCATGACATAACTGAAAAAGTCGTTAGTTTTGGCGGAGCTAAAGAGACGTTCATGGCACCATACCGGCATTAATAGCGAAATCAACAACATAGATGGCCAATACAGCCAATACTATCGTAGGTCGCTTGGCAGCCTCATCATCGGTCACCACGAAACCGACAATCTCACGAGTAAAGCCTAATACCAGGAGGCTTATAGCAACAATAATGGAGCCAACGACCATCAACGGTCGCCGACGTCCCCATTTAGACTTACTCTCGTCCGCAATGACGCCGACAACAGGCTGAACTATAAGACCGGACAACGGCCCAGCAATCCATACTAGAGATGTGTTGCTTTTGGTTAAACCAAGATTAAGCAGATAGGGCGTGCAGTCTAAACACTTTTCAGCAAGGTATGCCAGGAGATGATGAAACTGTAGACTTACATGTCATTTCGATACCCCATGTGAAACTAGATGAACCAATGTTAGGAAGCCAGCTCAAATTGGATCGCTGTTGCTGCAGCTCGCAGGATAAGTAAACGTACGTTATGCCAATAGTAACGAAACTCAATAAAACCATGCGCACAGCCTCAGAGTTGCCTCTGATTGCAGGCTGTCCTGACCAGCTGGCCATGTTGGCCCGATTGCGCCCTTGAGGTTCAAGGCTAATGTTATCCTGGCTGTGTCTACCCGAGCTATTGCGATCGTATGAGTCTCGCTGCGGATGGACGCCGTAAACCTCGGTACCGGTCGAAGAGGGAGTTGGCACTGGCGGCGAATAATCTCGGGGTGAATACAGAACGTCGATAGATACGGCAGAAGCTGGGGGAGATATCGACGGTGTTGGAACAGGAGAAATTGAAGACGAGCGGGATGTCGAGCCTGCAGCAGGTACACTCGGGACAGTGAGGTGAGTATTAGACTGAGGATACGAATGACGTAAATCCTGTTGAGAAGTTTGATGCTGTAAAGTTGACCATGAGCCTTGATTCTGTTGACAATGAAGCCGAGACTGGAATTCAGCCACGTTGTGGTTATGCTGCAACGGTCCAAGTTCCTGATGACGATGCCGCTGCGGGTACTCGCGATCGACCGCCAGCTCTTCCGGCGAGCTTGTCGCGGGCATATTGTGTAGGTAGTGTGGGGTCATGAAATGGGGGAACCTTGAAAGAGTTAACAGTACCTTTTCGCGAAGCTTCTTGCTCTGCCAGGGGTTAAATTGAAGCGAAAGACTTGGCAAAGCTGTCGAGTAATGTAGGAAGGGCAAAGTAGAGATGCCAGACTTGCAGCTGATGGTTGGTAGTCACCAAGCAGCCAGGATTGATTGGCACCATGAAAGGTACACTATAGAGTACTAGGTAGAGAGGTACCTTACCTATTGCTCTAGCGCTGTGAGCGGTGGTAGTATGTCACCCCCGCCCCCTTTCTCCTGCAAGGGCGGGACCCGTGTGTTTACCGCAGTGGATCTTTCTAACGTTCCAGTCTGGGGGTATTAGTTCCAAGTCACATGTCAGAGTTATCATCTACCAAACGGTAGATGAGTACAGGTATGATGAACATCAAATGTTAATCAAGTGTTAGTCGGTACCAAGACAACGAAATAATGATGCTCAAACCCAATAAGAGTGCCAAAAGACACCATACAAAGATCTTGTCACCAAGATAACAATACAAGACCGCACATAACGATACACGTGACCAAATTTAATAATTTAAGCTTCATCATGCTTGGGCCACTGGGATCTTATTCCATATCTTGGTCAATACGATTTTTTACATTTCCTCCCCTGGTAGGAAGATGCAACCGAACTTCGTGGCCAAGCAAGCACTACCCGCCCAAGTTGTTTTCGGGTTCATCCCTCGTTATTCACACCTGAAATCTTACATACGTTGGTATTTTGCTCTGAACGCCTGGCTCCCCTGCTTTAAAAGTCAAGGCCCCAACCACACCTCTCTTTCATCCCATGTTTCTGCTTTCGCGTATAGGACACTGAAGGCTTTTACCCAAATACAAGCCCAAACAAACAAATGAAAACTGAACCAAACGACACATTGTCGAACAGTGAGTTCAGCATAAATAGGAGCTGAAGGTTGAAGAAAAGGCGAGGATGAACTCATAGAAGACAAATGCTAAAAATGCTGATCAAGATGGATGCGTCTTAGGACCGGGTAAGTCTCGCTGCAGTTTCAAATCGTAATGTCCGTGTAATAAACGCCCAAGCTCCTTCCTTGAATCCTAGTATAAATCTTGGATGTGTTGCGTAGTTGATAAGATAGCAGTTTGGGGCTGTGGTTATGAATCAGCGAGCCTGGCAAAATGCTTTGACCAAATCCACCCGACGCGATCGTCCGGATCATCCTGGTTCTTTGCTAACCAGAGCTCTCCTTTCTCACCGAGGACGTCGAAGATCTAGACTAGCAGTTAGCACCCAAAAAACCGAGGTCATTTGTGAAGTGAGTCAACTTACTTCGCCGGCCTGATATACCAAGTACGGATAACCAGCTTCGTGTTTTGTCGTTGCAATATTGAACTCAAAGAGGGAAGCCGCTAGCCAAAGCACATTGTACCCGTCGTCTGTGGGTCCTCGCTCCCTTGAAGATGCCCGAGACGATCGAGCACTATCCTCAGGTCCGTCAGCTGGTGGCAAAGCTGAGTGGAAAAGCCCCGAAAACCGTCGGCCCTCTTGAGATTGATTCTGTGAACTGTAGGTCGTATGGGAGTCTCGGAGCTGTTGTGTAGCTGAGTCTGAGCTCTGTCGTGGAAGTCCCCCAGAGTCAAAACTTCTGCCTGTACTGGGTCTCGTAGAGGCGGCGAATGATCGCGTGCTACCAGGAAGATCTGGAGAGAGAGGAGATGCAGTGCCCTGCTGGTGGTTCCCGATACCCGAATAATAGTCACGATAATAATACTGATGTGGACTAGGGATGTTCCCAGCAGTGACACCTGTAGGCGATGCAGTATACGAACCGCTGTGGCGTTTTGTGAATTCGGGTGCAGGAACGCTTGGGGCCTGTTCACCGCTGATTGAGTGACCTCGACCCCGCGAATCACTCTCAGACGGACGTGATCGCATCCTCATGGATGATGACTCTTCGGTACTCCGTGTGGTTGACTGAGAAATTCGACCCCGATACATGGGATTGAGGATACCAATACTGGCTAACTGCTCCTGTTGATAGGGGAAGTCGCGTTGGAAAGTTGCCACGACCTCCTTAAGATCCGGCATATCAGGACAGTCGCCCAAAACTAGTTTCATCTTGTCCTTCCATATCCCATACCATCTCGTTTGGATGTTGACAAAGTTACCCAGACAGATGTTGCCCACCTTTTCAGTTAAAGCAGACAGCTTGGGGAGCTCTTTCTTCAGCGTATCGTTCAGAGCATCGTACTGCTCAACAAGTTCGTTGAGTTTGGAGTCAATACTTTTGCCCGCGCGCTTTAGCTGTTCGTATCGCTCGTAGTCCACGCGGCGCTTTTGGCGTTTTTTCATTGCCAAAGACGGGTTACCATAGGCTTTGATAACATGTTCGAACGGCTCAATGACATGTTTTCGGACTTGCGATAACTGGTATCCGTCAGTACTCTTTTCGACAAGCGTCACTCAAGCAATCAACGTACATGTTCCTCAAGCGCAACCTTTTCAAGATCTCGCATCGAGATATTAAACTGGACCCACTTGCTTTCAAGCTCAGGATGGTTTCCTGGCTGTAGCCTCATCACCAATTCAATGGACGACAGATACTGCAAAAATTCGTGGACATAGGCAGATACCTGCCTCGTGTAGAATTCGACATCTCGGAGGACAACTTGTAGTCGCAGATAATCGTCGCCAAATTTCTCGTTCAATTTGGCATATTCGGAATCTTCACTTGTTCGGGTACCTGACGCTTGGAGCTTGTCGACTCTTTTACCGAATGCGCGCGCGAATCCTGCCTTAACATCGGATTCCTTTCGCTTTCTGCCGACGATCTGGCCGACAAGTTCGAAGTTCTTTTTGGTTTTGTTGATCTCGATGATGGCCGTCTCGAGGATCTCTTTAGCCTCAATTAGGCCTTCTCGATCGGGATGATCCTGTGGGGTGTGCTGCAACAGCGTTATAATGAGATTTGGATACTTGGTGATGCGCTGCATTGGTTTAATTAAGAGTGAGTCCAGGTCCCATGCTGCAGTCAGGTCCTTCGCAACTTCGTTACATTCATTGAGCCAGACTTTCACCGTGGGATCCTGTTGTATCTGGATGAGTCGTTTGGCTGCCCCATCACTGTTCCTCAAGAAGCCCTCATGAGCGAGCTTCATCTTCTCCATATTGGCTTTGAAAACAGGGCCGATCAGGACGGAGCGATCTTTGGTATCATCAATATCAGCAGGATTAAACTGCGAGGGCTCCGATATCAATGTGCCTTCCCTAGCAAGCGCAGACCGCCGGCTCTGCATCGTGTAAACAGCTAGAACTGCCTCTTTGATCTGCGCAAAGAAGGAGGTGTGGAATGCAATGATCTCATCCGTGTTCCGGAAGATGAGCTTCACAGTGTTGGCGTCGAGCTTTGGGCAAGCCTCTGCTGTCCCTTTGTATATCTCTTCGACAATATTCATGTCGCGCACGAACACAGCTTCAGTGTCAACAAGCTCTTTTATAACGTTGCGTCGTTGAACAAGTCGGTGCTTTTCCTTTCCTGTTGGACCCTGTTTATCATATGTTTCGGAGTTTGCATCTCCGTTCAAAGTGGTTGCATCCGCGAAATACTGATTATGGGTTGACAGGGATGTGGTGTCCATCGATTGAGGCGTGGTCATCATGGGAATGTAATCTTGCGACCCTCTTTCAGAATTGACAAATGTGCTTCCACTTTGGGACTGCTCATAATAAACACCTGATGCTCGTTGCGAATTGCAAGCGGAGCCGGATGTTGAAGCCGGTATGGGGGGAGGTTCGTGATTAGGGGATGGGAAGTACGAGAAGCTCTTGCTGGCTCTGTTGGAAAGATAAGGAATGGAAAACCCATCTCCAGTGTCTAGCTCCGGGAGTTGATGACTTAGATACGGCGACTGGGTCAAGTCGGTAGAGGGTCGGATCTCCGGTTGACTGTTGCGAATTTCCAAAGGTCGCTCGACAGGTCGGCTATTTCGATGGATAGATGTTGTTTCAAAGATTGTAACATGGCCATGATCTCCAGTTTCGTTCTCGTCATCATCGGGAAACACTGGTGAGCGCCCCGCTGGAGACACGTCGCCACTATTGATCGAAAAGTCAGTCCACGCTGACTGCTGACTTGTTCTATTCGTCGTTGACAAAGTCGGTACCATAAGATTTGTTGAAATCTCCGGCCGCTGCTGTTCATCATAAGCATAATGAGGCTCGTTGTTGGTATCCAGAGATTCACAAGTCGAGGCACGATGTGACGAGAATTGGTCGTCGGACGGGACCTCTGATCTACAGTCGTTTCTGCCGGCCTCTTCTGCGTCCTCGGTACAACTGTCAGTGAAAGCATCATCGTCATGAAAGCGGCGATACTGCCTCGTTGCTTCATCGTATTCCGAATCAGAATGGCAGTCTGATTCATATTGGGGCTCAATTCGTGGGAATGGGACCGTTTCTTCAAGGCTTTCAGCCGCTCTTGGTTCGTCATTGGGTGGCAGAACGGTGATTGTAGTTTTGTAGGACTCAACACCTGGTTGGGGCACGTCTGCTTTGGCCTGAATATCGAATGCTCCAGGGATGAAAGGCGTAATAACCTCATCATGCTTCGACAATGCGTGTTCAGCTACATCAACGGTATTGGATGCGGATTTTGGTCGAACTGGCGAGTCAGGGTCATCCTCGAACGGGTAATGATACTCGGCCTTCGGAGGAGATGCAGACTTCTGTGCTTGTGGACTGGGCGGCTTGACAACCGTGATGGGAACTTCGAGCGGCGTCTGTGAGGACCTTGGAGGGGTAATTTGAGGTTCGTTATCGAACTCTGTTGTTTCTGATGCTATCGAATCGGCAGTTGGTGGTCGCTCTGGTTCACCAATAGGAGGGCTGAGGGCTGGAAAGCTGCCAGGAACACCCAGGGTGGGTGAATCAAAGTCTTGAGCCGATGACTCGTCGGTAAAAGTTGCCTGGGAGGTCGCAGTGAGCATCAATGACGCTGGTGGTAGTGCCATTGCGATGTCAACCGGACTCATCGTTGGGTCATCCAGAAACGGTGAAGGTTGATCTCGGCGTGGCTCTCCATCAGGTTGATCGTAAGACACCTCATGGCTACCTGGGAATGCAATAGTATCTGAGAGGTCAACCACGTTCAAGGCATTTTGCACTTCTGTGGCACTTGAAACCTCCGGGCTCAAACTTCGCCCACTACCAATCCTGAACTCTGACGATACTAAATGGTCATCTGGAAGGGGCGGAACTGGTGGAATATCGGCGGGGATCGGTGACTCTGTAGACTCTGTAGCATTAGGCTCTGGCGTAACAGATGGTGAATTCGAGTTTGAAGAAGTAGTGGCAGTAGCCTTGGCCCTGGCAGCAGCCTCCATTTCCCTCCGCCTTCGGTCTACTGCCTTTTGTCGTGCCTCGAGCGCTTGGCTTTCTCGAATGGACTTCGTATAAGCTAGTCGGATATGTTCTCGTCGCTGTTCAAAATCAATCGGTCCTACAGAGATCTTCCGCCGGCGCGATGATGGTTCAGCTATCCTGGACTGCGGAATGGATGTAGGATTTGGTGACCTAGCCCTTTCCACTGCCCTCATCCGAGAGCTTGCCGTTGTAGCCACGGAAACGGGTTGACGAGGCCGAGAACTTCTGAGAGGAGGGGACAGCTTCGGGGGAGGCGCTATGATATTTGCCTGAAGGCGATTGTTGTTCGTTGGTGTGACCAGAGTTCGAGGTGCCGCCTTTCGAGCAACGCCGCTTTGAGTTGGAGTCTTTGCCCTTGTCGTCGGATTTCCTGCCCTTGATGTTCGGCCATTCACTTGCGGTCGTTTGAGAGCTGGTGAGTTCGAACGCGTCGAAGGTGTTGAATCACTGGGGCTATTCACTTTTCTCACAGAGCGTGGCAGTTTGGATGTAGATCCAGCACTCGAGGTATTGGTCGTCGGTGATTTTCGAGAAGGGGTTTTACGAGAGACCGGAGGTACTGAAGGGGATCTTGGGATGTCGCTATGTGACCGTGTGTGGCCTTTTTGAGGGGCCTGGGTAGGTTGCCCGTTGTTATCGTGGCCGTTGAGGCTACGATACCAGATACTTGGGGACGAAGGCTCGGCGACATCTGGTGGATCAGATAGGCTTCTTTGATGGCTAAATGGATGGTGTAAGCTGGATTCAGATGTCCTTCTTGGGCGAACGCCCTCAATTCCATAGCCAGCGGTGGGAAAATTGTGTTGCTCGGGAAGAATCTCGCCGAAAAGCAAGCCTTGAGAACGCGAAGGTGTGGGGGAGATAGAAGAAGAAGTCGGTTGTTGTGGTGGAGACTCTGGCGCCAAGTTGGACGTGGGTTTGGAGGCATTTGAGTTTCCGCTAGCAGTACTTCGCGGTTTCCCTATACGACTGGCAAAAGACTGAGAATTATTCGAGACCTGGTCCTCGGCAACATATCTTGACCTCTGGGAGCGGGCTGATGAGGACATTGTTTGCTTGCTGAACGAGTTTGAACCATCACGTAATGTCGAGTAAGACGTTGCACCATTTCGCGGTTGTGGACTGACACCAACATCTTGCCTAATCTTAGCTGCAGCTCCCGTATGCGCCGGGGCACGGGGAATTGATGAAGGTGCAGCACCATTCTGGTCGAAGCGCCTTTTCAGATCCCTCACACTGGGGTGAGTTCCAGTGGGTTTGTAGCCAGGAAGAGCAGGCCTGTTGTCGACAGGATTTGACGTGGAACGCATATTGATCTCTGTTTGCGATGTAATATGAAGTTTTGGCATTAAGCCATCACCGTTGGAGCGCAATGATGGACGCAATGCCGAGGCACCGATAGAGAGGGACTCTTGATTATTGTGGTACGTTCCCCGATAGCTTTTGTAGAAGTCGTCGGGGTTTACGGGGGCGAAGGCATGGTGGGCTCCTGTAGAAATCGAATCGTACTCGTCGGCGTGAGGCACAGGAGGACGGGAAGAGGCGCTACGTTGGTCGAAATGAGATGCAGGAGCGGCGGAAGGCGAAGAATCGGGGAGGTAATGACGGCGGTCGTGAGATAGCTGATCGTTGAGATAGTCTTGTCTGAGGTCAGTGGTGTGGTCGATGCGACGATTGTGGTCGTTATCGTGATCGTAAGGGCGCTGATTTTTATTATGTTGGGAGAGGTGATGAAGGTCGTGGTGAGGCTCGAGATTGGGGTTTCGAAAGCCCGAGTCTACATCCTGTACGTCCGCTTGGAGGCCCGCGTGAAGGGCCTTATCCATGTCGTTATCCATGGTGGCCTGAGCATCGGTCAGGCTCGTCGAGCGGAGCGACTGGTTGGGGGACTATAGACCCATGCAGAGAGCATCGATGCGTTGGCGTTTAAGCGTTGTGCGGGCGTTGGCGTGAGGCGCACTTGATAGGTGTGAGGATAATTATTGTACTGTAGGTCCTGGAGTCAACTGCAAATGGGCCTGAAGAGTGTAGCGACCAGGGGGTATAAGAAAATCAATGGCCCTCACAAGCTCACAACTGCAGGATCCAACCGTGGACAAGTGAGCAGGAATAACAAGATGGGGGCACCAAGCTAGACCAGTCCCTGGAAGTCGAACGACGTTCGGGATGGGAGGGTCGAAAATCGAAGTGGACACTCTTAGTGGATGCTGGTGCTGGAATCAGCCGTTCCAACTCGTCGTATGCAGGCCAACTTTCTGCTAGGGGCTTCGACGGTGGACGGGGATGCTGCCAGTCAAGCGCTTTATTGATACAGGTTAGTCTGAAGAGTGCTGTGGATGGAGTTGCATGTGCGTGCATAAGGCAATCACCTGTATCCAGGTAGCCAGGCCAGAGAGCTGAGGGCACAAACAGCACAGAGTAAGCGGGTCGAATGAGGCTCGAGGGTGGATGATCCTTGAGAAAAGGGAGCAATAGGGGCCTAATAAGCGGGATCACTTCCTCAGATGGGCGACAGTTCGGTAGAAGAGAGACACAGAGACAAACCAACACCAAGATAATTTACGTAGAAGGAGTGGTATGGAAGACGCGATCTTATGAAGGATAAGCGATTTTGAACAGAAAACTTACTATTACCCTTGTCGTCGGGTATGATATCAAGTGAAAGCACAGTTACAGTATCAATACCTTAGTCAACAGCGTTCAAATGGGATTTCCATTGGATTGGGGATTGCCCGCAGATGGGGCGGTTCCTCCTCAGTGGAAGTACCTAGGGAGGTGCCTGCAGAGCATGGAAACAACGGCGACGCTTTTGGTTGGATGTAAGTCCATCCCTGATCAATCACATCAAGAGAATACTTCATAAACCGCGCACAACGGCACTCATCAAGTAGCGTCGACAACACCTCCACATTTCATGACCACGCATTTGGCATTCCCGTATCTTATGTACAGCCGCTGAACAGGTAGCTTTGAACAATGGACTGTCGACCGAGGGCCGCTTGTTGTGGCCAGCCTAAGAAAACTTTGTTGGATAGCAGGGCGAGGGACCAATAAAGGAACACAGGACACTTGAAGAACCTCATGGTCGCATCCGACATATGAAAGCGAACACCATGTCCTAGCGACTACAGAGTCGAGCATACCTAAGTATCGCAGCCGAGTTGCGTTTCTCAGACCAAGCTAAGACTCGAAGGTCTACTGTGGTGCTTGGTTGACTTATGACGCCCCTAAGATCCAGTGTTTCTCCCCTGCATCAATTCCCGAGTCCTGCGATATCCTTACCCATGTCCCAAACTGGAGCATCTAGCCATCTGCTTCTAATACATAGATAGTTGCAACATTGGTCTTAAAACATGAGAATAACTAGTAAAGCATTTTAAAGTTTCTGTAAGTATAAATATCTCAAAAAAGCGAAAGGCCCTCCCTGTCTCCCCCCTGAAGTGTCAGGGGTTTATTGCGATCCAATCCATGGCATTGTGACTGATCTCGTAACCCACGAACCGTTTCGTGTGGCAGCCGATTCAGCAGCCTCAATTCCACCCGGTTGGACAATGTCACCCAAGTCAGTTTATCAATGAATCCAGGCTCACCAGCCCATTCATTTTTCCATGAGTTGCAATGACCTTCGAAGCGTCGAGACTAGAAACATGGCAAGTTCAACTTTCCCACTGTAGCACATTGGGCATATGTCTCATTCACCTATTGCACTTATTGCTATTCATCTATGTCAAATCGGGCAGGGAACCCCGCGTTGAATCGATTATTACTGCGTTTGGAGGAACAAATGGCGACTGTCCATTCACCAGGGCTACTCAATTCCCAGCCAGTCTTTCATCCTCTGACGTTATGCATCCCCTTTCTCGCCTTAATTACTCTCTCATTCCGTCCTGCATATCAGTTGTACCTGGAGCCAGGTACCTAGATTTACCACCCACAGGTGGAACTTTAGATACTTAGGTAGGTAGTCTTAGGTGGCTATTGGGGTCGTTTTGTCCTGGGAACTGCCTTTTGAAGAATAAACATACTAAGAATACGCGGTCCTACGCACCGTTGGCCATGAGAATCACACGATAGTCAAACCGCTCACATCTGATTTTGGTTTCATTACCAAATCCCATTGTTGTGGTGTGGTTGTTTGTGCCTGCAACTTTCTGCCCTTGGCTTACTCGTGCTTTTGGGACATTAAGTCCAAAGTGGCGCGGCTGTGGTTTTGATATATCTTATGTTTAATAAGGAAGCTTGTCCTAAGAACTTTGAAGGTACTGATGAGTAACGATAATGTGTAACAACAAATCTTCTTCCGGTCTGCTTGACTCCCGAGCTTGTGTTCTAAGGTCTTCGACTGATCGGGAGACATAGGTGCAACACACTTTGATCCGACTCTTGTGGGTTCTGCCGGTTCTTTATCAGTGGAGGCTGAGAAAGGAAAGCATTTCATTATTCATCACCAGAAGTCCGCAATGTTTGAAGCCACTTTCTATTTTCGAAGTTGTAATCTAGACGACATTCACCAAATCGTCCCCTTTTTCGTCTGTTTGATTCCCATTGTTCATCCTAGTGGCAGATCCGGGGCTCCATATCCATCAATTATCCGAGCTGACCACTTTTCAGCCTAGGTACTTAGGCTCTCGTTTTCAGGGTCTCACAAAGAAAATTGCACAGTCGCACAGATTTGCTCCGTGCTCGCCGTTCCTGCGTTGTGATACTGTGTGTGATGGTATGCAGGACCGCTTACAACGCTTCTTAGCGACCATGCCAATTTCATCTGGAATCCCAGCTTCCCCCAAAGGGACACCCCATCTACCACACCGAAAACTCTATCTCCCGCAGCAAGTATATGCAATTCTATGCTGTGGTCGCTTTCGCGGACGTGTATGGCTCGCGTTTCTTGCCCTTCTTCGCTCAGCAGCAAATTGCTTTCATGTTGCCCAACCCTCGCCGTCTCTGATGCAAACCACACTTCCTAGCCGAGATGAAAAGCAAGCATAACCACGAGGCTCTGATAAGTAGTAGAATATAGGCTTTTCCTGATTGCATCGAACAAAGTTTATTACCTGAATTCCTGTTAATGATCAGTGGCCAATTCTATGATAACGCCCAGTTAAGCGGCTGGTTGCTTACCCCTGGAACCGGCCTCACACTAAATCTGCGCTAATCCCTCTGGGGACAAGCTCCCGCTCCCACGTCTGTTAAGGATCATCCACATTGCATCAAATCAATGTTCGAATCTCTGTGGCTCATAGGATTCCACGCTAGCTTGAACAATTACACAAGTGATCATCAGAAAACACAGCGGCTTGACAACCGTTCAATGGGGAAAAAAATACAGAACAAGTATGGAAAACCAGAGAAAGCGAAAGTTGGAGACTATTGTCGCGTCGGAACGCCAAAAGCGAGCCAAGCTACTCGAGAGAATACCCGTGAGGCGCGACCTTCTGGAACGTCATTACAGCAGGGTCACCTCGTTGAGAGAATATGTCCTCTCCCAGTTACCTCATGGATCTCGACTCCGACGGAAGAAAGTGGCATTCATCGGCGAAGCAAACAATGCCAGAGAGATTGAGAAGACTTTATCACGACTCCTAGACACGTCACTTGTTTGTTTTGCCCATCAAAAAGCCGACAACGATGACACGAGATGGGAGCAATGGCTAGCATTCTCACAGAGAGAGGACGAGTCTTATGTCAGTCTTTCCGATGGGATTTCTGGATCAATATTCTCCCAAAATGAGGTCAGTATAGCATATTTATTTGTATGAAAAGTCGCTTACAATCATATAGATCGTAGATTTTGTTGTATGGCGTCTCTTCTCTAGAGAGGTTCAAGTCGGACGACGACCCAAGCACTTGTTGTGTGACGGGTTTAGGAAATCAGCCGGACCAGGCGACCAAGGAACTACAACTATTCCTGGACTCTTTAACCTCTTTCCGAACTCTAACGTTGAGGCGCTGAGGGAAAACCCTTGGCCACAATTATTGGCCCTTCTTGGCAGAGCTGGAGAGAAAATCATGATCAATCTCCTTGTTGACGCCTCTATATATTTAGAGGTTGAAGCAGGTTTCAACAATTATTATCAACTGACAGGTAAGACAGCAAAACACTAAAAGTACACATCTGACCAGTTTAGGTGTGCCACTTGCAGAGCTTGACCTTCATGGAGGCAGTCTGTCAATGGCTGAAGGATCTAAAAGCGAAGCACGCAAACCTATAGACATAACTCTAGTGAGAAGCAGAATGTTCTATGCTAAGCCATCCCTCACGGCACAAGGACACGTTCAGCCCGGCTATAAGCACATTCGTAAGTGCAGAAAGCACATCCAATCAGAAATATTATTAATGGTTTTCAGACGTGCTGAATCGGTACAAGAACGCTCCCATGTCCAACGACCTAGAGATCCAGCGCCAAGGTACAATCAAGGTGATGATGTACATATTTCCTCGGCAATTCAGACTTCACAACGTCTTTACTTCTCAGGTCGACCCCACGATAACCTCGCAGAAGTTTCAAGACTATACGTTGAGAGAAGAAGAGATTGCTCCCTATTTTCAAACAAAAGCAGGAGACACCGGGTCGCAAACGCCAAAAATACCCAAGAGGCTTCGTGGATATACTGAAGAACTTGTGAAACGCTTGCAAGTTCTCCACGGCCGGTGTTCATATATAGAGCTCTTGAAGCACCACTGCCCCTGCACTTTTGACAGGCCATCGCGAACTAGGAAGCCGAGGACCAAGAAGAGTCTCATATCGCCTCGAAAGTTTCTTTCATCACAACGCCCGACGACGGGTTCATACTACAAGTGTGCTTCATCTCAGAAGCAATCCGAGCCAGGGCTCTTGAACACGCAAGCACCAGCACTTCCATATCATAAATCCCTGGTAGAGCTAGCCACCCCGTCATCTCAGGTCTCATCGTTTTGTCAAGCCGTCTTGTCCAAGATTATCCCCGGAGATTTCTGGGGGGATGATGCCGTACAGAAACGCAACAAGTTCACTATCATGCGAAGCGTCGATCGTTTCATCAGGCTCAGGCGCTTTGAAACCATGTCGCTACATGAAATAATACAAAATATGAAGGTAAGTGTCCGTTTAGTGCGAAAGCTTGACCATGGCTAATCATTTATCAGATGGCAAAAATCTCTTGGCTTCACTCACCAGTTCTGAGCGACCAAAGACCAAGCAAAACTGATACTGCAAAGCGCCTGGAAATTTTTAATGAATTCATTTATTTCGTTTTTGATTCTCTCTTGATCCCTCTGATCCGAAACACCTTTTATGTTACTGAGTCTAACACTCATCGATATCAAGTTTTCTACTTTCGCCATGAAGTTTGGAGACATATAGCAGAGCCAGCTATGATGGAACTTAGAGCAGACATGTTTGAAGAGGTCAAGTTGGATGATGCGCTGCAGGTATTACGTTCCCGAAAGCTGGGCTTTAGCCAAGTTCGACTCCTTCCAAAAGGTAACAAACTTCGCCCCATCATGAATCTCCGGCGCAGGGTTATGACCAGGGCATCTTCAAGCAAGCTTGGGCGTAGTATAAACACTATCTTGGGTCCCGTGCATTCGTTGCTGAAGCTAGAGAAGGTATGTGAGGTGACAAACCTTCCGAGGTTGAAGCTGACTCGAAACCCAGAGGATCAACCCGTCCAAGTTGGGTTCAACCATGTTCTCCGTCAGCGATATTTATTCCCGGCTGAAACTATTCAAGCAATCTCTGGGCCCTGAATATGGTAAATTGTACTTTGTCAAGGCTGATGTCAAGGCTGCTTTCGATACCATCCCACAAGAGGCAGTTGTCAATCTGATGAAGTCCGTGCCAAGTCAGTCGAAATATACCATCATGAAACACGCAGAAGTGAAGCCTGGGGAACGAGCAGTGGTAGCTGACGACAAGTCCTCGTCCAAAGCTATCCGACGATGGCATGCAACAGCCTTGAGCGAGAAGGAAAACCCAGATTTCATCATACGGCTTGAGCAAAACCTGGCTCAAAACAAGAAAAATACTGTCTTTGTGGGCAGCGCTTTACGCAATACTCATAACATTGGAGAACTGATGCATCTTCTCAGGCAACATGTCGAGCATAATCTCGTCAAGATTGGAAAGAAATATTACAGACAGAAAATCGGAATCCCTCAAGGCTCTGTGTTATCTTCATTCTTATGCAATTATTTCTATGCTGACCTTGAAGTTAAACATCTGAACTTCCTTCGTTCGCCAGACTGCCTACTGTTACGCCTCATTGACGATTTTCTTCTAATCACCCAAGACCAGGAAAAGGCGATCAAGTTTGTCAACGCTATGCACGTGGGGTTTCCTGAGTATGGCGTTGCGGTCAACCCGACCAAGACCATGGTCAACTTTGACATGCTATTTGATGGTGAGCCCGTGCAGAAGTCTAACCATGAGAAAGGATTCCCCTACTGCGGAACCACTATAAACTGCAAGACACTGGATATCACCAAGGATAGAGACAGAGATGTAAATATTGGTACGCTCGAGAGTCATGCTTCTAGGACAATCCAAAACCAGTACTTACACCTAGAAAGATGTATCTGCTTCTCTCACGGTCGACTTCGGCCGCACACCTGGCCAAAATTTTCAGCGAAAGGTTCTAAGTTAGTCCCCTGTACCACATGGACCCAAAGAGTTGCTAATCAAGGCTCCTATGACCATAAAGACGCTTTCAAGATTCAATCTCATCTGATGTTTTATGACACATCCCATAATGCAAACCGAACCGTTCTTAACTCGCTTCGAAGTACTTTTGTTGAGACTGCGAGTAAAATGTACGCTTACTTGCGTTGCCTCGGAAAGACACAGCAACCGAGTAGTGAAATGATACTCCGTAAGTTGCTCAAACTCATAATGCGGCTGCTTTAATGTCTGATCTTCTCAAGGAACAATCGCTAAAGTGATCGACGTTGCCTTTCTGCTCTTGACTAGCAGATCTAGGGTGATGAGATATCCCCAGTACATCTGTGACGTGCGAAAATCGCAAGTTGCTCTGTAAGTGTTTATCGCTGTGCCGTTCCTTGCTTAGCAGTATCCTAATAGTGATAGAAATGCGTGCCTTGCTTTTGAGAAGGTATTGGCAGCAAAACAGACCAACTATCAGCCTGTTGTGAAGTGGCTTCGTAATGAAGCTGATAGGCTTGCTTCGGGCCAGAAATACGAGCTCCTGCGGGTTTCATGAGCTAGGCGAATAGTAAATTCAGTTGAAATGGTTAAACGATCTATCTCTAGTAACTTTGTCTCTTCTATGCACGAAGAATAGTCTAGAATATATACTATAATCGACTTACCCCTTGATTTCCCGAATATGTCGGCTGTCTGGTCAAAATATTTCTTTCGAGATGCGCTGGCTTCAAAGTTGTATACCACTTTTCCACCAGTACTTGTCCAAATGCCAGATTGGGAACATATATCTTCTCCATCGCCACCAATGATCGTCTGGGTGACCCAAACCAAGCCAGCGGAGGGGGGAAATCGGCACAGGTTCCAGAAGCCAAATACCCGAAGATGAAATATCATCGGTAAAGAAAAACGCGGTCAGACAGAGCCAGCCCAGAGTGAATACCATGTTGAATGCCTGGCGGAGTCTTCGAGGGAAGTTGGGGAAATGTTTGTCCAAATTCTGCAGCAGAATAAGCTGCAAGATAATGCCAGGAGGTTGCAGGGCAAAGAAGAGCGGACTTCTCCAGGGTTTTGTGGTTGGCATGGACGATAAACTTCCACCGGCGTGAAGTAAACCGGACTGTATGAAAGATAGACACATGGTAACGATTTGAGCACGTAGTGTTCCCCTTTGAAGATAGCCATGGTCAACGAGGAACTTTGCGGGCGCAAGAAACTGAAGACGAAAGGTTTGATGCCAGAACGCCCCCCACCAACCAGCAAGACCTCTATCAAGCACCTGCGAGATAGGACCGAAGATGTTGGTGTACTGCCATAACTCTCTTCGCATGGGATAAAAGTAGGAGAAAACATAGAACTGAAAAAGGTCATGTAAGCTAAAAATGGCATCGATGGCAGCATAGATACCAACAAGGCAAAGGAGCTCGCGATAGATGAAGCGCAACCAAGGAGGAAGCTGCCGGAGGAACAAAGGGAGCTCAAGTTCTTGATCGGGCCCGTAGGCACAGTAGGGATCCTTGACCATCGCAACAGAGCAAAAGTCCAAAAGAAAAGTGAGGAAGAGGACTCTGTGAATACGGTTACATACGAACTCCCTCTCGGTCAAGTTACGATAATAGCCACTTCTAGACACAATGGGCATGTTGTCGAAGGATACACGATCCCCATCACGAATATTGCTTGGGATATCTGGTCTTGGTACGGAAGAGATAGAACAATTCCAGCCTGGAGAAAAAGCTTAGCCGGGAACCTCCTTGTAAGTGCTAGATAGTCGTTTCAAACCTACCGATTTCCCTAAAGTTTGTAGCAAGGTCAAAGGTCCAGTTAAGCCGTTCACCGAACGATCCGTTTTCAGGAAATCTCTGCCAGGCGTAAACCACATCTTTGGAGCTCCCATTCTTGGCATGGGTTTCGGCTTTCCCTGAAAGTGCAATGTCTTCGTGGCAAGGCTTTCTCTGTCGAATCACGCGTTCTTGGTTGGAGACATTGGCAACATTGATGGGCAGCTGTTTTGTAGATGCTTGCGACTTGTTGCCCTTGCCAATCTTGACAACTCTGGCATAGTCGAGTTGCGGATCGGTCCAAACCAAAAGATTCAGAGTCATCAAAATACCCCATCCGCCCATGAGACCTGACGCATATGCTGGGGCGACGTTGTAGCTAGACATATGCCGAATCATATAAGCATCGAACGCAACGACAAAAGTGACGACAAGCCATCGTGCGTGGTAAAGCCATGGCCGGTTTCGATGTGGAATTGCCAAATAGACCATAGGCAAAACGAAAGGACCGAAAAGACAGAAAGGAAGAACAAGGGGTTCTCTGATCCCTTTGGCAACTTCAGTATCGAACAGCGCCTTGTACTCGGCGCGGGCGATATTGCCAAGATTGGCCATAGGAGTGACTGTCATTGCGCCGACAACTTCGGAGGGTTATGCAGGGGCAAAATCTGATTGCTCCCAGTTGCAGGACTTTTCGGCAAGCTTGCTTCTCGTAGGGTTGTATTGGCGTCTACGACTCTATCATGACGCAAGCTGGTTGACAATTTCTACGAGGCGGGAACAAAGTAGCAACAGGCAAGCAATGCAGCAAAGAATTCGTACCGAACAAGTCTCTGGATTAGAAGAAAGAAACGAAACCTTGCTTAGGTGTAATTGTACCTCAGGAGTTATCGCTTCTTCATGGTACAGAAACAGGTGGCACCAATCAAAGGGTCATGGATTGTACCCAAATAGTATTTTGGCGGTGATGAGACTGTGGGGAAGTCTTTTTTCTGGGCCAAAAGTAAGAGCTATCTCCATAGACCCGTGAACGGTGCCTCAAAAACTAGGTCATATTGTAATAGTCGAGGGGCGCAGAAGCCTGATTTGTGTAGCCGTGTCTCTTTCAGCGGGCAATAGAATTGCTTTTTGCTGAGTTGACGTGTCCTTGCTGACGTTAGACAGAGGCTCATGTTGCTCCAGTCTCGAGAATCCAATGCCGAGAACACAAGAGACACTTATAGTCACTTACTTGACCAATAGCTTCTATATTTATTATTGGTGATAGCTGAGCCGTTAATTGCCGATTGAAGGCTTGTTAACTTGCACTTACGACCAGTGGTGGTCATTGAGAGTCATCTGGTCACTAATAAGGCCAGTGATTTTTGGCAGGTTTATTAGGGGCTCAGAATCCACGATAGCCCACTTATAACCATATGCATTGTCGATCTCTGGAGTGGGAGATCAAATTGGCGGATTGGGTAGTTTGTAGGTAGCTACCTAACGAGGGTGGTGTCTCAACATTAGTCAGATTCGTGGTTAGGTTAGTAGGTTGGGTAAGCCAAGACTCACGCTGACTGCGACTTCTGGATATCACAATCTGTTGCTATATCATATATTGTTGCATGCAGTGAGACTCCGCTTAGATACCATATCGGAAATTGTCCTTGCAACGAAGAATGGCTTCCACTGCAGCAGGCGATGGAGTTACAAAGCATAGGGCGTGCGACGAATGCCGTGAGTGTCTCATCATGTGTCCGAGTCGGAGACTTATCAGTCATCAGGATCCCGAAAACTCGCATGCTCCAAAGAACCCGATGGCTGTTCTCGGTGTACAAAGGAGGGAATAACATGCTTTTATTCTCCGCAGAAGCAAATGGGCCGTCCCCGAAAGAGGCGGCATGTGGATGTGGATGACGAGGCTACTCTACCAGCACCGACCATTTCCCAGCCGCCAGAGGAAGCCCTTCTATTTCTCCAGTCGGATGATAATCTGTCCTATCAGTACCTGAATCAGACGCAAACAACCGGAGATTTGCTTCTAGATCTCAACTTCCTGGACGATCCAGCTAATGCGAACGCCAATACATGGGGCTTGCAAGCTAGCCATGACACGTTTTCTTTCAACCCGCAGATCGTGGAACCCCAAGGCTTGCTCGTAGACAATGTGACATTGCCTACATTGGATCTGAGCGGTGCCGACCTCCTTGGTAGTATCAATTTTGGCAAGACAGACGCCCCGCAAGAAACAATTTCGATGGATCTCAGCAGTACACTGCAGCAGTACTTAGCAGATCAGATTGAATCCCCAAACCCAGGATTACAACAGAACTCCAACACACCGACACCACCTGACTCTAGCGAAAATGGTGCCTCTGTTGAATCCTCAGAGAGTGTGATTAGAACACCGACTCCATCTATGCGATCTGTCCCAACAGTGTCTTGCGGGTGTCTGTCATCACTTTATTTAGCCCTCGAGTCTCTTGGAAATCTGCCGGCTGAGGTTATACCAGCCATGAAAGTCGCACGGAATGCGTCCAAGGTCGCTCACGACGTTATCAAATGTAATGTCTGTTCTGCATCTCTGCATGACGAACCCACTAAGCCTCCTCCCATACAATCTTTCCAAAACCTCATGCTTCTTGGTGCTCTGGTTCCATCTGCATGCAACGCCTACGCAAGGATTCTAGAAATGATAGATGAAGAGACTGCGCTCGCCAAGCGGCAAGGACGCACCTTTTGGTTCTCATTCAAAGAAATCGGCGGCCTCTGGGGTTGCATTGGGGGTACGCCCAAGGGCTGCACGACTTATCAAAGTTACAACAACAAGGACATGCCTCCTGACATGTGGAGAATGACAATCAGGGGACTCCTTCGCCTCGACGTCTACGGGTTAGATGAAAAGGACCAGGAGATCCCAGGCGCGATGACCTATCGGCAACTTGGGCTCAAAGATGTCGTTGGGCAACTTGAGGAGAGAAGCAAAAAGAGACATGATGCTCTTGACGCACTTCATGCTGCTGGGCACGCACATGAAGCGGCTCGTGGAGTTATTTACCCGACTAAGGCTTGTTCTCCAGCAGAGCGCAATTGTACCAAAGTCCTCGAGACAGCGCGTATTGCGCTGGAAAATCTAGTTATCGCATAGGTAGAACATACAACGTAGAAAGTCCCAGAAGCTTGATTAGGGGCTGAACTACCGGAGCCAAAAATGGAAAAAATAAAAGCGCCCGGGGCGTTGCTTGTGAAAGATCTATAAGGTGAAGTTTTTGTAAGTTCAAGTGAGAGCTAGTGCTTCGGAAGCTTATATCTGAGTAGCCAGCGCGATTTTATACAGCAATTTCCCTGCTGGCGGGAGCTTACTCTTTCCAATCAGCGAAGTACTTCGGCATCCGTTGACGATACGATTGTGCCCTGTTAAGATCAAAGACCGTATATTATCATGATATGCCTTGGGAGTGACATATGCGATGAACAGGAGGCTGTCGAGCACGAGGTGACTAGTCATCGCCGACATCATCACTATGCACACAGACTTGGCTAATTGAACCTTTCATATTGAACCATCTGCGATTCTCTCATGAGATACTGTCCAACCTATTCTCTATGTCCAAGTCCCGCCCAAGTTAGATAAGAAAGCTGAAGACCTTGTACAATGCTCAAGATGCCATCCAAATGCCTAAGAACCAACGCCTGACATGCAAGTTAAAATACCGGGTAGAATAGATGCAAAGCCCCGCCTGAAAGGGTTTCAATTGATTTATGCGGAAACCTGAAAATTTGTGATGGAAAGGTGTTTAAACTTGTTCTTGGGCCTCAACTATGCCCAGAATATCGAGCTCGGCACGAACAAGGCTCTCAAACTCCTGGCGATCAATACCTGAAGCACGCGAAAGCATGAACAGGCTTCGAATACTGCGCGATACATGCTGCTTGACACCGAACTCATTTTGCGTTTGTTTGCCGGCAGACGCCTCAAGCTTAGCAACTGTTTCTGAGCCGTTGGAACTGGCGCTTGAGGCTGGGCGTGGGTGAAGGAGAGCGGCGTGACGCTCGGTATCGTGTCCGTTTTGTGTCGGGCTTGAATCACTCTTCTCGATCTCGGCCAATGTCCATGCGCCCTGTGTCTCATTAAGCTCTGTGGCTTCGGCAGATTCTTGGGTACGTCCGAGTCCAAGAGGTGGAGCAATTTGCGCAGCAGCCTCTTCCTCATCTGGGTCATGATTATCCATAGCAGGCTGAACACTATCATATTGAGCAAAATATGCGTCTTCTGCCGAAGATGCACGAACACCACAGATTTGAGAAGTAGATTTTGAAGGAGGTGCAGGCGACTGTTTCTGCGCTGGTGTCCGGGATGGAGTTGCATCGTACCGTGCCCAGTAATCATCGTCCTCCTCTTCCTCTTCTTCGTGGCCACTATGAGGAATATGCAAGCTATTGCCATGGCCGTGGCCGTTGGCGTCCTTGGCTTGGCTGGTCACCTTCTTCGCTTGTGTTTCCCTGAACTGTCTCTCGGCCTCTGCGATGCTAGATGCTCGCCCAAATTGCAAGTAAGGCGAGGGTTTGTCTGCTACAGTGACCTCGCCAACTCTCCAGCCATCGCCTCCGCCCTCAACGTCCCCAACGCAATAGACCAACTGGAAGGCCAAGCCCAGGGTGGAGAGCGCAACGAGAGCTTGCAGAGTCTCCTCATCGACCCGCCGAAAACGTATCTCTGCATCATAATCCCAGTCGACCTCGACTTCACCCGATACCGGGTGTGGCTCAAGACCACCGCCTTGGGCGATCTGAATAAGCTCAGGTATTTTTGCCTTGTCGTAACACAGAAGTCGAATCCATGGTTCGGTACTTGATGTAGATAGAAGCTTGACTCGCTGGCGAAGTATGGGGGACAAAAGTGGTAGAATACCAATCGCAGGTTCCGTAGAGATAGCAGATGGTGGGAGAGCAGGCAGAAACGGCGCAAGAAGCTGTGTTGTGTCTGGCGAAGGAAGCTGCGTGGTGGTCATTGTCAGATTGAGCGCCGCAAGGCTGGACAAGGTGCCGTTTTTGTGGTCGCGTTCTACAGAGTACACGGTAATAGATGTATGCGAGATCGACCGAGTTGAGGGTATCGTGGGAGGACTGTGTAAAGGATGGAATTTTATGTGTGACTGGAATAGTCTCGTTGGTCGAGGGAAAGATGGAGGACAGGATTAAGCGCTGTGAGACGAAGGATATTAAAATAGCCTTTCTGAAAATCTGGTTGCATGGGAAGAAGTGAGATTAAAGTGGGAGGGATTGGTGAAATATAAGAGCCGGAGGAGCATGTGCCTCCGGCAAGAGTTGTCGGCGGTGCGGCACGAGGTATCAAAGAGGCAAGTGACGTGCCATACCCATGCGTGCTCCTGTCCGAGAGAGGTCTCGGATGTCTCCAAGCTTTGTTCTGGGGTCGCAGTCTCAAATGCCCTTAGCCAATGACGGCATCGGAGCAGCAGCTTGGGGAGCAGCCTCTCGGCCGGAGCAATGGAGACTAGGTAGGCGCCCAGGATTCCTCCAGAGGTTCTTTTTTCTTTGCCCCTACCTAGGGGAGCAAGAAAACATCAGACTTCGAAGTGGGGTGTCAAAATAAACTCAGCAAAACGCACCCTAAACTTATGCTAACATACCTAAGTCCTTTTGTCAATGAGGATTGAGGCCCCGAGTTTTCTTTCCATCCTTGGTAGCAGTATGTGGTGTGGAGACGGGAACCCCACGTTTTACTCCGAGCTTAGTAGAATTATTTAACGTTGTTACAGTCATGATTGACCTATTGGTCCTCGCAGCGATTTCTTCCATGCTCATAGCTCATCAAGTTGATGCTTTATGCGCTTTATGCGCTTTATTTGACCCTGAGCCTTATGCATATACTAGTATGAACACATAGAACGTCAGGGTGACATTGTCGAACTTCTGTTTGGTTAGTTCCAGCGGCCTAAGCTGTGGAACCTGGCCCAGACCCTTGAGGCTATTGTTCATTGTTCCGGGCAGATCTCCATCGGCTCGGTTGATGAAATCCTCGTCCATCGGTACAAGAGACCCCGAGGCTGGTTGGTACTATTGTAGATTGTTCATTCAATCCATCTCGGATTTAGTTTCTGCTAGAGGAATATCTCGTATCCCCTTCAGCAGTATCAGAAGACATTGATCCAACGATGGAATCCCGCGCATAACGATGGCGTTGTCTCTACCGTTAACAACCGTCGCAAACCGCAATCGACATTAGGAAATCATGCCGTCACCAAAAAAAAAAACCCATCGTGAGCTTGAAGATGATCAAGGATAAATTTTAGCCAATCTGAGCACGGATTTCATTTCCCGTGATACCTACATACCTAGAATCACAACTTGACCAATACGCTCCTGGAAGAAAACTCTAGAGCATTATCGATTCAAACAGGTTCCATTAGAATGTTTGAATCACAAAATTGGCGACAATTTGCAAAAGCGCAGCCCATATTCATCTACTAATCCTGCCACGGGCATCTATCTCCGTCAACGTTGCATCATTTTACCTTATCAGCAAACTTGGCTCATCAACCTTGAACGACTTCGCTTTGCGCTCAACCGACACATCATCAACACCATCAACACCGTCGATTTCCGCATTCTTGAGCTACAATCTCTCGGCTAGGCTTTAGCAAAGCGCGTTCGAGATACAAAGCATCTCTTCTGCCTGTGGTCCTTCAGGGCTGTGGTTGAATGCATGTCGCACAAAGAAGGGCGCCTCAAGGATGAGGTAAGGTGCTGGTTCTGAAATACTTCGAGCAGCTGGCTGACAATGGGAACTAGGGCTCGAGGGTCCAAGTCATAGCTGCGGGAGCAGTAGCAGGTTTGGTTTCTAGGTGAGTTTCCTTTATCTCCTGCCCTCTTCGAACAATGATAGCCAGTACTGATATTAACTGATCTCTAGATTCGTTGTTGCTCCCCTCGATGTCGTCAAGATCCGTCTCCAACTCCAGCCTCATTCTCTGTCCGATCCCGTAGCAGCTTTGCGCGACGCACCGGCTTATCGAGGAGCATTCGCGACCCTGAAACACATCCTCAAGCATGAAGGTTTGACAGGCCTGTGGAAGGGTAATGTTCCTGCAGAGCTTATGTATGTATGCTATGGTGCCGTACAATTCACAACATACCGCTCGGCGACCCTGTTCCTCCGAACGGCATTTCCCTCAAGGTTGCCCGATGCTGCCGAAAGTTTTATTGCTGGTGCTGCCTCTGGTGCTGCTGCCACCACCGTCACATATCCTCTCGATTTGTTAAGAACACGATTCGCAGCTCAGGGCCGACACCGTGTTTACCAATCGCTGCGCAGTGCCGTCTGGGATATAAAACGCGATGAGGGTTGGCGCGGCTTTTTTAGAGGCATTGGGCCTGGACTAGGCCAAATCATACCCTTCATGGGCATCTTTTTCGTCACTTATGAATCCCTTAGAACGTCTCTAGAGGGATTGCACATGCCATGGGGCAGCGGAGATGCTACTGCTGGCATGTGTGCCAGCATTTTATCCAAAACAGCTGTATTCCCTCTCGATCTTGTACGAAAGCGTATTCAGGTGCAGGGGCCAGCGCGGCAGCAATACATCTACCAAAACATTCCCGAGTACGCCACGGCACGGAGCGCACTTTTAACGATATTACGCACAGAAGGTTTCCGCGGGTTGTACAAGGGCCTGACTATCAGTCTTCTCAAATCAGCCCCTGCGAGCGCTGTCACTCTCTGGACATATGAACAGAGCTTGAATTTGATGCTCGATTGGGATTCGGGCAGTAAGGAGACCATCCCCAATGAATTATAGACTATAACAAGACTTGATAGATTCGTCATGACGCAGTATGTCGTCCAATCATCTAATCCTACTTGCGCAGTTTCTATTCTACTGTAGCACCTTGACTCTTCCCTGGAGACTACTTCGCAAGCGCAAGAGCAGCATTTTTTGCGTCTGCTCGCTCAATGCACTCTTCGATAACCTGCCAGAATTTGGCAGTGTCGACTCCCCGAGGAATTCTAACACCTTGTTGACCTGGCGGAAGCAACTTGGCCAACGTGCGACCTGTCTGCTTACCCTTCTTAGCCTCTTCAAACGTGCCCTCAGTTATGACAGTGACTTCGAAGCGTTCATCATGCTCAGGGGGCTGACTGTGCTTGGCGTCCCACTCGAAGAAGGGAATCTCATTTTCGGTGCCAATAAGTACAGCAGCAACGGCAATAGGATCATGCAGAGGGGGTCCAGCGGTAATACCGAAGGTGTCACTAAATTGTTAATCGAAGGAGCGCATGTCATTGTCTGTGTCAACTTACGCATATGTTTGAGCAAAGAAGTAAAGGAGCTCAACAAGCATGGTACGGAGAGTTGTCTTCCCGGGACCTGTCCGCTCAGCATCGGGGCCGTACAGCAGCATCTCTCTCACCTCCGATGTCGCCAACACCTGATGGCTGAGATCGAGGGGCACAATCGTAGTTTTGGCAGCGATCTCTTTGGTATGGAACACCGTAGCAGCAGCTTCTGGGTCAACGAGGATGTTGAACTCAGCCCAAGGCGTGTAGTTTCCGATTCTAGGGTGACCATCAACTTCGCCGAGCGGTGCATCTGAGAAATTATCGCCAATAGAGCCTCCCATAAGACTGACACCCTTGATGTGACTGATAAGCTCTGGATAAGCACGGAGCAGAGCCCCGACGTTCGTCAGCGCACCCGTTGCAACAATCCACGCTGTACCAGCGGGTTGAGCACGGAGAGCCTCCGCCATCGCCTCAACAGCCGGGATAGGGGAGGGGGTTACGAGTGGCTCAGGAAGAAGGTCGGTGCCATCTAAGCCAGAAACACCGTGGATATCCGTTGGCGCATGAAGGGCAGGACGTTCAAGAGCCTTACCCAGGCCGATATACAGAGGAATATCGTGCATACCAATGGCGGTGAGAATGGAGGCAGCATTATGCGTAGTGTTTCTGATCACACGTTAACAAGCTGTTCTTAATGACATTGTCGTAAAGTCAAGATTGGTTTGGATAACTTACTCAAGAGATGCATTGCCAAAGACCGTTGAGACACCAAGCAATCTGATCTGAGGATGATAAGCTGCCAGAAGAATAGCGAAAGCGTCCTATCAAGAAACTTAGTAACTGCTGAGCGCTATTATGAGACATGAAGAGAAAAGAAAACAAAAACAAAAACATCACCGAGTCCCGCAGCAGAACTAAGAAGTTGTATGAGATACAAGGCTATAAGCACCGTTTTTTTATACGTACATCATGACCTGGATCACAATCCAGCCAAACAGGAACCTGACCTTCAGACATTATGGAACAGACAGATAAAAGGCACGGTGTCAAGAAAATCCCAGGTTTCAGCCTCAATGCAAGAAAGGATAAAGTGACAGAATAGGGTGGGATGGGGATCAAGTTCACTTGACCAACTGAGGGAAATACGATTCTGTAGGTGAGTTGTTGAAGTTGTGACGTTCCCACAAACCGAGAGACTCTTTTATCATGGTGGACGCTGAAACAGTTTGGCTTACCTAGGTACGGTACGTCGTAGTGGGGTGTTTTCCCCTCACTTTGTTGGTTTTAGATTGTCACCGAGCAATTCTGACTTAACTAACAACTTGGCGCGAGCTAACAAGGCCAAACAGCTTCCTCTTAAAGCAGGTGGTTATGGCCCAGGAGACGATTGATGGGTCTTTTGCTTCCACAGTAAGTGTGACTTGAAAAGTTGAATAAGCATTACGTTAAGGTACCTATGCAATCCTAACTACAGCACCTGGGGTATCAAGCCTCGGCTTTGTGCCGACTAAGATATGTTTCATGATAGGTATGCTACCAGAGAACCTCATGCCGTTCATCATGACTTCTTGCGCGCTTCCATAACCCGCAGTACATCTGCAGCATTATTAGCATCACCCTTTCTCTTCTTCGGGCCTCGCTTTCGTTTTGATTGCCCTCCTTTTGATTGCCCCTCGCCCTCGTCATCCTTGTCTCCCCAGGTTGAAAGCTTGACCTTGCTATCGTCGAAATCTTCTTCGTCGGCAAACCGACTAGTACCGAAGCCCATATCGAGATCTTCATCATCGCGATCCGCCATCTGTAGGAGCCTCCTTCTCTTTTCCTCCATCGCCTCACTCTTCATTCCTTCAGTTTGGCCGTCGTCATCGTCGTCGTCATCTTCTTCAGCATGATCCCTGGCGTTATTGAGAGGATTGAGAGCCGCTGCTCGCTTGATCGCTGCCATGATGGCGGGATCTGACATAGAAGGCGCTTTGCTCTGCTCCTCTGACACTAGACCTGTCTTTGCTCCCTGGAAGTAATTTCGATGCGCTTGTGGTTTTGGTGGCGGTTGCATCGATGGATTAGCAATACCCCCCTCATCCATTCTTTCTTGTTCCATCTTCTTCGAATCTTCATTCGCACCAGAGTCTGAACCTGAATCGTCTATCCCAGCTAGTGGATCGTAATCATCACCCACGCCGTCAAAGATGTCGATGTCTTCGTCCTCCTCGGGCTCCTCCTTTTTCCTGTATTGTTCTGGAACCTCCATGCCAAGCGGCTTTGAATTTTTGTCTGGCATGAGAAGTCCGATCCGATCGCCTTCATCAATTTCCTTAGTGCCAGGCTGAACTTTCCGAACCTTCCTCTTTTCATGTCCATCTTCATCCACAATGATTAAAACCTCTCGTCCTTTGCTGTCTCTCTCTATTCGCGATCCTGCCTTCTGTTTGACACCAACCTTCTTGAAACGGTCGCCAAGCACATTCCCTTGCTGTGCTTTGGCAGCTTCTCTCGCCGCCTTTAATTCTGCAAGAATTTGATTGCGTGTACGTTTCTTCCCAGGTGCCAGTGATACTGTCGATAGTTGGCCTTTCTTTTTTGTCTCGGTTCTTTCTTTGGGCACCACTTGGACTTCCTGCTCTTCCAGCTGTTCAAATTCATCGTCCACGTCAATCTCGGTTGCGGGCTCATCTGTGGGTTGTTGTTCGGCTCCGTCTTTCTTTTCTCCATATATATCTTCTCCACGCCGGATTCGTTGGAGGAGCTTAAAGTCGAGTCCTTTAACTAGATGCGTGCTACTTAAATCGCCTCCTGCAATCTCGAATCGACGGTTCTCAAATGTGTCCTGGTCGATCTCCTCATTCTTGAGCTGTTCTTCAAGGTCTTTGAGTTGTTGTTCCCGATCGTCCTTTGTTTCATCGTCACGTTCTTTCGACCGGTCGATGTAGCCCGAGGCGAGCTTGACGCCTTTTGGATCGTAAGATTTGAACTTCTTTTGAGGTCGAACCGCGTTGTTCCGCACAGCCATTTGTCGCGCAAAGTCCGCTTGAGCACCCCCTAGAGCGCGCCTGTATTGATTGATCAGAGATTTCGTCCTTAGGAGTGCAGAAGTACTTACGGTGTCATTGGGATGCTCGATCGTTGCCTTGAACCGAGCGCATTCCCGGTGCCTGTGGATGATGAGCCTGTGGGTGTACCATTTTGACTATCAGAGTTCTTCTTTGCATTCGCAGCCAACAGTTTACGGAATTGTTCGTTATTCATCGCAGCGGCAAACACCCATAGAAGGATATAATCGGTAAATGGAATTAAATGGTTTTGATCCGAGGATTCAGATGGAACTCCAGCCCGGCTCGAGGTGGCTAGTGCTTGTGGCTATGCAAGCCTCATCACGGGTTATCGTGTTCATTCGCGTTTCGATACTCCACTTTACGCGCTTTTGACATCATTCAGTCTTCTTGATGTTTGTGTGACAACTGACTTCATCGCCACAACGCCAGTGTTGAAGCATTATCGTTTCCAACAGTTGTGTTGAACCCTTCCCTGCATATCCTGTCTCTCATTATCAAACCTACGTCCGAGGCTGAGTTGTGATGGTCGAACTCTGTCAACTGGCGCATCACAATCGCCACTACCATTATCGTTAAGATTATCACATCAGCGAGCTGATCAGCAAGACAACGAGAATGGGGAGTGTTCTTGAGAAAAACTCCTCGCAAGTGAGAAAGCGTATCGAAACGCACAAATTTGAAGACGAAGGAGGGGAGGAATACGAGGGCAGTGAATTCAATGGGTTCAACGACTATTTCAGGCGCAAGAAGATCAAGCTTCAAAACCTCGATGCTGAAATACGAGCCAACTCGGACAAACCCCAAATATTCAAAGGGATTGTCGTCCATGTTACTGGGTATACCCAACCACCATTACATGTGTATGCTCGTTTTCTCCTCCTGGATAGGGTTCTCTTGCTGACAAAATTTAGTCTTCATCGTGAGATTGTGCAGCATGGTGGTGGGTTTCTTCAATACCTGGATTCGAAAACAATGGCGACTCACATCGTTGCCTCGACGCTCCCCCCTAAGAAATCTGTCGACTTCAGCCGGTACCGAATTGTTAAACCGGCATGGATCATTGAATCTATCAAGGCTGGGCAAATTCTCCCGTGGTCTAACTATCGGGTTCTGGACGAAGGACCAAGGCAAAAAGTTCTCAAGTTCGACGGCGATAGCGGTCTGTCACCGTCAACTCCTCTTTCGAAACAAGGCTATCGTGAACAAACAGAGAACAGTTTCTACGCGAATCAATTTAAAGCATCTTCCTTCCCTAGCCAGTCTCTAAGTCAAGCTGCTGAGAAGGCTCGGACCCCTGTTCGTCCTACCAATGGTGTAGACACGACACCTATAATGGCAGATGCCATTAGCTCTTGCATTAAGAAGCCAGTAGCTCCCCCAAGTGTCTCTCCTAAGGATCAACCAGTTGTGGCTTCACTGGACTTAGAGACAACTGATGGCGAAATGTTGGGACCTGAAACAG